ATCCCTCCGGCTGCCTGCTCCTCCCCAGCCCCCACGCGGCGGGGGGGGCCCGCGGTGCACCCGGGAAGAGGTGGTCGGGGAGCGGCCGGGTCCGGTCGCAGGAACACGCACGATTCCCCCCTCACGGGCGGACTCCTTTCCTCCGGCGGCCGGCGGCGGACGGGCGGGCGGCGCGGGCGGACTCCCCTCGACGGCACCGCCCATTCCTGGGGCCCTCTTCCTCCCCTCCTCGAGGCCCTTCTTTCCCCCTTCCCCTCCTCCTCCTCCTCCTCCTCCTCCTCCCCTCCCCTGCCCTTCCTTCCTGGCTCCTCCCGGTGGGTTCTGTCGTTCGTGGTGTTGCTGTGCGGGTTGGCGTGTGTCAGAGGTTCGCTCTCGCCCCGCTGATCGATTTGCAGTTGAGTGTGTCTTCGGAGCAGGGCACGCAGCTGGGAATGGACGGGGAATGCAGCCTCGCCGCGCGCCGTGTTTGGCTTGCGTCAGCACGCGGCCGCCCCCTGCCGCGCCCCCCGCCCACGGCCGCGCCGCGGCTGCACGGAGACCACCCGCTCGCTCGCTGACTGTGGCTGCAATGTCGGAGAGGCGCCGCGCCCAGGTTGACCAGGCGATCGCCTCGCTCAACGACCGCGTCGCTGCGGTTGAGTCGACCCAGGCGCCCATGGGGCGCCGCCTGGACGCCGCCCTGAACTCGACGAGTGTTGTGTGTGAAGGGTTTCAACGGTGCGGAACCGAGTGGGCGGCGAAGGCCCCCGGAGGTCAGTGGAGGGAGCTCAAGGCTGCCCGGGGCCAGGCGGTGGCCAGCGACCTGCGTGCCCAGATGGGCATTGGAGCGGACGACGCGGCCGTGCCCGAACCCGCCCTCAACGCCCCTGTTGCCCACGCGGTGGCAGTGGTGGGGGCTGCCGTGTCGATGCCGGGCGCAATAAGCGGACTGATCGCCCAGACGCGGTGGTCTGAGGCGGATGGCGCCCACGTCCCGGTCCCGAACACGTACAAAATGGCGCTGGAGCCGTGCCTGGAGAGCCTGCAGGTCCAGTCTGCAGCGAGGGTGTTGGACCACCCGCTCCGGCGGAAGGCCGGCCTGGCAGTTGCAGGCGTGGCGCTTGCGCCGCTGGCGGCCGGGCAGCCTCCGCCGCGCCGCGTACTCATGTACACGGACCGCACGAGGGCCGAGCGCGCCAAGGGCAAGGGCAAGGGCAAAGGCGGCAAGGGGGGCGGGGGCCTCGCCCTTGGCAGGAGCCGCGGCGACGGCAAGGGGAAAAGCAAAGGCAAGGGTAAGGGCAAGGACAAGAAGGGCAAGGCCGCCCTGCGCAGGCCGGCGGCGGCCGAGGGGGCAGCGGAGGCGGCGGCGGCGCCGCCGCGGAGGGCGGCCGACGGCGCGGCAGCCCCCGCGGCGGGGGCCGGCGCCGCGCACGGCGCAGGAGCAGGCTCAGGAGCAGGCGCGGCGGCCGGCGCAGACGGCGCGCCGGCGCCCGACCGCATGTAAGCCGACGGAGCGAGCGGGTGGTACCAGTGACACCGATGGCACTGGGGGCAGCCCGCGCTAGGGCGCTGTTATTAATGCTAATTGTTCTGGGTTGTCCAATAACTACACGTCGCACGGGCAGGGGGGCCAGCAACGAAAGTATCTTCCTCCTCCCCTTGGGCGTCGTCGTCGTCGTCGTCGTTGTCGCCGGGGTTGCCGCGGTCATCCCGGCGTCTTCGTTCCGGGCGTCGGCGCCGCCGTCGGCCGAGGGTGTTGGGAGAAGATGGTGGCGTGGCTCGGCCCCCCTGATTCGGTCCCCCGGTCGGTCCCTCACTCCCTCCCTCCCGCGGCCTTCCTCTCGCTCCTCCTCATCCCCAAGGTTTGATTCAACAGGTTCCTGCATGTACACCTGCGGACGGCCCGGGGGCCGCGCGCGGCCGAGAACCCGGAGGACGAGGACGAGGACGAGGAAGAGGAGAAAGCGGAGGCAGAGGAGAAAGAGGGCAAATAGACGCGGTTTGAAGACTTGAACGACGCGGCGACCCCAACATGTGCATTTCATGTTCCGGTCACGTTTTACGCAGGATGCGTGTCTATGAATTTCTAGGTCTGCGAGCGAGTCCACGTAGACGACAGCTGCGGCAATGACGCCGACGACGACGACGACGGCGGCAGGACTTCAGTGACCTCTTCCTCCCCCCAGGAGAGACTAATAATACACAAGTGGAAAAGCGAGGGAGCGTTCCGCTTGCCGTCCTTCCCCTGGCAATCCAGGCAAGCGCGCATGGGTTTGGTACGCCCGCTCTCTGGTGGGCTACTCGCGGCGCCTGCTGGCACTCGGGGTGCTCAAGTGCCACGCCAGCTCTAACGCGACAACAGTTTGCGTGAGCTTTAATGCCCGTGAATCCGAGCGTGGGTGGTCTGAGTGCGACCCAGTAGAAGTGTGTGTGTGTGTATGTGTGTGTGGACTTGGGTATGATCGAGCCTGGGTGCGAGCGCGTTTGGATTTAGTCAGTGTGAGCAGGCGTGGGTCTGAGCACGAGTAGGTCTGAGTGCGAGCCAGTCTAAGCGCGAGCGAGATTCAGTCTGAACGACTTTGAGAACGGGTGGCTCTGAGTTCGGGTGTGATGAGTAAACAGTTGGATATGACAGAGCCTTGGTGCGAGTTAGTCACAGCGCGGGTAGATCCGAGGCTTTGTGAGTATGACTGTGAGGGGGTCTGGGTTTGAGTTGGTATGGGTGTGGGCGGGTCCTGAATGTGAACGAGTTTGTGTATGGGCGAGTAAGTATGGGTTCGTATGAGTACGATCCACTCTGAGTGTTGGCGAGTCGGAATGTGATGAGCGAGCCATGGCGAGGAAGAGGTGTTGATGAGCACGTGCAAGTGCGAATGAGTGTGTCTGAGGGGGAAAACAGGTGAAAGGAGGCCGATGAATCAGCAAATGTGTAGTGAGGAGCGCACAAACCCAAACCCAATTATTGGAGCATCAAGAGGCAAACCGCGTGAGACTTTCACCCGATGTGGGCGCGACTCTCGGAGTTTTCCCATCCCTGGCGGCCCCATCGTTTGGAAACCCAAGTGGCACGCTTGCTAGATCAATGTGGTGACTGGGTCAGGACGAAAAAACAACTTTCGGGGTGCCCGAGTGCCACGCCTGTAGTATCGCGATGGGCATATGACCACACAAAGACATAAACTTGGACAGCTGAACTAGGCAAGCCGCTTGAGACTCCCACAATATGGATGCGAACCGTGAGATGTCCCTCCCCACCCCAGGTGGCCCCCCCTGGGATTCCCAAGTGCCACGCCTTTTTATATATCGCGGTGACCATTTGGCCACCAAGAGAAAACGAATGCGGGGGGCAGAAACAGGCAATGCGCCCTAGACATCCCCACAACCTGTTTTGAATGCGAATGATGTTGGGCACCGAAACGTGCACGGTGCCTGTGACTTCCCCACGATTTGGGCGCACACGGGCCCGTGCAATGCTCCCGGGTCGTTCCCTTTTGAGTGTTCAAACCGGCGCTTCGCCGGCGGCATCATCGCAGCTTGCTTTTCACGAACTGGCAAACGCTTGCGGAGACATCCCCGTGATCGGGGCGCGAACGGGCCCGTGCAATGCCCCGCGCGACCCCCGTTCAGTGCTGAAACCAACTCCCCGCATGAACAACTTGCACGGACTGTTTGGAGAACGGGAAAAGAATTGGGCATTCGAACGGGCAAACCATTGTAGACATTTCCACAACCTGGGGGCGAGCTGGCCCGTGCAGTACCCCCTGGCGGTTTCCTTTTAGAGTGCTGAAGCTATCGCTTTGGCATCGTTCGGACGTGTGCATTTTTCCTTCGGCGAGGACCATTGAGGAACATCCTTGGTCATTCGGCGAAAAAACCACGCACGAAACCGAAAAAAACACAGGGAATGGACGTACGAGCGATGGCCAGTCCCTGAGATTTCGACATCCTGACAATATGTGTGCGTGAGTGATCCTGACCATGACGGGATCGGGGTGTGAAGGGAGGGTGGGTGCTAGTCAGTCTGATCATGAGCGAGTCTGACGGTGAACGAGCCTGCGTGTGAGTGGTTTTGGGTGTGAGTGAGCCAGGATGTGAGTGAATTTGAATACACGTGGCCCCGAGTATGGGTGAGCATGCGTATGACTTTGCCTGAGTGCAAGTGAGTCTGAGTGTGAGTGAGTTTGAATGTGCACGAGTCCCAATGCGAATGGGTATCAGTGAGTTTAAGTATGAGTGGGTATGAGTGGGCCAGAGAAATGGTGACTGAATCTGGGTGAGGCTGAGTGAGGCAGAGGGGCAGATTGAGGTGAGTAAGAGGAGGGTTCGTTTCCTGGGCCGCCTTAGCAATAACAATAAACCGAGTTTAGTAGATTGGGAATGCCAAGAACCTCATCTTAGGACATGGGGGGTAATCATCATATTGTTCAGAATTGGTGCACAGGATTGCCACGTCCGCTATGTTTTTGTGGAACGTGCCCATACCAAAATTGCCACGATGCAGCAGCCTCAGTCGCGATTGTTGGTTCCAGTAGCCTTCCCTGTCGGCAGGCCACATCAATGAACTTGCGGGCAAGGCAGGAACCTTCCCCGATACGGAGTCTATCATTTACCAGAGGGGGCAACAACTTTCCCGATGTTTGGACACAGCCACGCGAGTCCCCACATTGCCGACGTGATGCGAAATGTCCCCACATTTGCCGATGAGAAGGAGGAGGAGGAGGAGGAGGGGAAGGAGGAGGGGGAAGAGGGAGGAGGAGGAGGAGGAGGAGGAGGAGGAGGAAGAAGAGGAGAGGAAGGGGGAGAGGGAAGGGGGAGGAAGAGAAGGAGGAGGAGGAGGAGGAGGAGGAGGAGGAGGAGGAGGAGGAGGAGGAGGAGGAGCAGCAGGAAAACGAGCAGGAGGAGGAGGAGGGGGAGGAGGAGGGGGAGGAGGAGGGGAAGGGGTTTGGGGAGGAGGACGAGAACTATGAGAAAGTGGAAAGGAGCAGGTCCCCATTTCCCCTCCCCCCTCCTTGGCCTGGCAGGACCTGGAGAAGGAGAACTCCAGCCTGCGGGCCGGCAAGGCTCCGCCCCGCCCCGTCAGCGCCGCCGCCCTCGCCCCGCTCCCGCTTTCTCGCCCCGGTTTCTCAGGTCCTGCGGTGAGGAGCTCGGCCTTGCTCAGCGTGTCGTGCCGTCGGTTCTGGCTCACCGCAATTCGGAATGACACGCTGGCAGCCCTCTGGGTGTTTCCAGGCCTCCAGCGCGACGCGCTGTGCTCCGCTTCGAATGTGAACCTCAGGGGCGACACGGTACCAGCTTTCAAAGCATGAGTTGCCGTGGGAGCCGACGCCGCGACACGTGGAGCATTAGGCCTCCCTAGACCGACAAAAATGGCGAGGCCCCCAACGGGCCTAGGGGCCGTCAAAGAGCGACTCGAGATGAAACAAAACCCGTCCGAGGGTCCACGTCTTGAACAGATCATGACGTCCTGGGTCTGTTCCGACGTCATGATTTCCCCAATGCTACGGCAAGTCCCTGAGCACGCTCCTGGACACGTCTCCTGAGACGCCCCCTGAGGCTTCCCTTGGCACGTCCACTGGCACGTCCTGGCACGCCCCCTGGAAACCGCCCACACTCACAAACGTCTCCTGACACGTCCCCGGGCACGGCTCTTGGCACATTTTTTGACGCGTTTCTTGGCGCGTCCCCTGGACACCGCCCCCTGGCACGTCCGCCCCCCGACCCCACCTCAAGCACGTGTCCCCTGTCATGTGCCCAGTCACGTTGTCTTTGCGCGTCTCCAGGCACAGCACCCACGCAGCACTTCCCATGCCACGGCCCTAAGACACGCCTCCCAGGCACGTCCCCAGGAACCCACTGGCGAGAAGGAGAGAGGGTAGCGGGAGAGGGGAGGCAACGAAGAGGGAGATGCGAGATTAGGCTACGTCAGACAGTGGGTGGCCCCAGAAGGAGGTGTGTCGGTCACGGTGATTGGAGGAAGGACCGAAGTGGAACGAGGTGGTGGGGGGAACATCGTGGCGGTCGGCCTTGTCTGTAGAAGTAGGCGGACTGGATGGTGGAGTCAAAGGGTGCGCTGTCTGGAATCTGCACCCCTCCCCCCCAGTTCTAGTCGCATGGGGTCACTGGGCCTGGAGGGTCAGCGGCCAGAGCGCGTGCTGACTGTGATCTGCACACCCCCGCCGCATTTCTCGGGCACACCCAGCCCTTCTAGTTGGTCGCACGGGTGTCGGACCTGGAGGACCATCTGGAGCTCGTCGCCCCGAAGGCGATCGGGAGGCAGAAGGTAGCTTGGCGGCAGCGGGCAGCGGCAGCGCCGGGGGTGGCGGCCGCCCAATCCCGAGTGCTGTTGCCCGCGGTTGGGCCTTGCCTTCCCCGTCGTTTGGGGAAGGGGGGGCGTGGCGGATGTTTCGGGCGGGTGGCAATGGGGGGTGACCTAAAGGGGGGTCTTCACCCCACATACAGGTCACTCCATCATTACCACCCGCCACAGCCCCGGTGCGTTTGCCCGCGGTTGGGCCCTGCTTTCCGTCGTTTGGGGATGGGGGGGTGGCGGGTGTTGCTGCAGCCATGGTGTGGTGGCGTTGGTCCCGCTCCTTTCGCCGTGGAGGCAAGGGGTCCTGAGTGAAAATTGGGAAATCCACCCAAGCCTCCACGACAGTGCATTTTACATGTCAGCGTTTTGCAATTATGGCGAATGTGCGTAAGTGTAGGCCCCCAGTGTTAGCGAGGCCATTGCCAGCTGCCGCAGGGGGGCGGGGGGCGGTTTTCACGCGTTCACAGATGGAAAAGGGGTCATGGGTTTTTTCCCACCGTTTTGCGGCCCTCGGGGCCCTGCCCTGGCACCAGGAGGAGCCAGGGAACGACGCGGGATGAAGCGCCGACTTTGGGGCAGCCCCCAGGGGTGCAGACCTAATGTTCCCTCGTGTTCCATCTCCCTCCTCCCACGACGCCGCCGCGGCAGTCGTGGCCGTGGTGACGTGGTGGGGGCCTGGGGGCCTGGTGGAGTCCCAGGCGGTGTCTGCATCGCCGTGGTTTGCCGATACGTCTGACGGAATTGGGTCGTGGTCGCCGGCCTCGCACTGGTGCCGTAGCGGTCGTATCGTTGGGCGTCTGGGTGGGCGTGCTGCCCACGTTGACGTCCGCTCCGTCGTCTGGTGATAATTACGGGATGCGTGGGATCGTCGTTGATGACCGAGTCAGCTGTCGTGGGAATCATTGGTAGATCTGTCCGCGTAGCGGCCGGAGCGCGGCAGCTCCCTCCTCCCTCGCCGCCCTCTGCCTTCCTCGCCTCCCCCAAATCCAGACGCCTCGAGAGGGGACTCTTCAGGTGCCCAGTGGCCCACGGGGGGCTTCCCGAGGATGCATCCGGAGGCCTCCTCGGGCCCAGGGAGGCCCACGGAGGCCCCCCAAAAGTCGATCCCTGCCCCCCACCCCCGCTTCGCCCGTCGCCTGCCCGCCGGGCGTGCACTCCGCCCGCGCGCGGTCCGGGATCTCCCCCGTCCGTTGCCGCCCCCCCCCCCTCCCCCCCTTCCTGGCCATCCCACGTGGTGTTTTGGTTTGCAGCGGCACTGTGTCCCGTGTCTACCAGCCTCGAACGTATCCCTAGCCCTAAGATTGACACGCCAAAAGGCGATGACAATCTTAGGGATTCGCCCTCGGAACCCCTAAGATTGGCATCGTGATGAGGAGGTACCCAGCGTAGGGATAGGGATATGTTCCAGGCTGGTAACGTGTGCTCGATCGGCGCAGCCCCAGCCCAGAGGGCACCGTGTCCAGTGTGCTCGCTCTGCGCAGCTCCAGCACGGCGGAGGGCGGGCCCGGCAGCGCCCCCGGCCTGTGTGGCTCCCCCGAAGTCTGGGCGCCTGCCTGGCAAGCGTCTCTTTGTCCCGAGTGGCTTCTGCCGGCTCCCTGGCCTGGCCAGGGGCCCCGCCGAACATTCAGGGGCCCCCAAACCTTCTGTGGGCCCCGGAGACGGCTGGGCCGTTTTTTCACCGTTTCCAAAAAGTGTCCCTTGAAAATGGAAACGCCAAAAAAAGGCGACCGGAAGCGGCAAAGAAAACGGTTCCAGGATTGGAACCAGAGCCGGAACCGGCCAAAAAACGGCGACGGAACCGGTAAAACAAACGGCGTCGGAACCGGCAACCAAAACGGCAAAACGGAACCGGTGAAGAACGGCCCTGCCGTTTCCAGGGCCCACCAAGCCCCAAACGGTGCGGTGACCAGGGACCACACCGTGTGGTAAGTCAGCGGGGATTCGGGGTGGCCGCACGGTTTCGGGACTTGTGTCGCTCTTCAAGGGTGTCTCGGGCGATTGGGGCCTCCAAGGTCCCCAAACCGGATGGTGCCAGACTGTGCGGCGCGGTCGGCGCACGGTCTGTCTGCACCGTTTTGGGACCCTCCCCCAGAAGAAACCACACATTTCCCATCGCGACGCTGCCACGCCCCCCCTCGTCTTTCGACCAAGCAACAATCGACACCACCCCATCCACGGCCCTCCACTTTTCGCTGCGGCCCATCAGAGGCCGGAGCGCCTTCCACGCAGGAGCCCACGCCAGACTTCCTGGTTTACGCCAAGCCCCCTGAGGCCGTCGGTGGGGTTGTGGCGGTTGCTTTCTGGTCCGACCTTGGGCGCAGGACCTGGAGCAGCTGACGCAGGAGCAGCAGGCGCGCCCCCGCGGGGCGGCCGCCGCCCGCCCTGCTGCTGCCGGTGCTGCCGCTGCGCTCTCGCGCTCCTGCCCCACCAGAGCGCGTCGCCCGTGGGATTACCGCGTTCGGTCTGCGACCGACCGCTGTCGAGCCCTGGGACCCCGTCGCGGGTCTCGCCGGCGCTGGGGCCTCGGACACCCGCGTTGGGGTTCACTCGGCTGCACGCTTCAAGGATGGGGTCCTGAGGGATGAGGCCCTAAGGGCGAGGTGCGTCAAGAAGCGTAGATCCTCTCTTGGATCCCTTCCTATCCTGAGGACCCCATCCCTCAGGACCCCACCTTTGAACCACAGGCGAGTGCTGACCCCCGGCCGGTTTTTCAGACGTCTCACCTGCAGGGGGTAGGGTTCGTTTTTCCTTGCTCATCGGTTCCTTGGGATACGAGGCACAGACTGCCTTGCTCTGGTACGGGACGGAGGGCGGCGGGAGGAGTCCGCAGGGCAGTGGCCGAGTCGGGTGGGCAAGCGGGTCGGCAGCGGCAATGCTCGGGCGGAGCGAAAGGGGGGGGGGGTAGTGAGAGGTGGGTTGCGACATTTGCTGCATTTCCGCCCCGCCGCGGGGACCATTCCTCGATGCATATGCTGGATGGACGCCTCCCGGCGCCAGGAGGCGCCAGGAAAATTACTCACTGCGTGGAGCTCCCCATATGTGGATCTCTTTTTAAAGATAGTTTGTGTGTTGGCATCTGTATATACGGGTCTAGCCATATGAGCTATGTGTGCATCTCATGTTGTATGATAGTGCCATGTTGAGCATATGTTTATGATCGTATTGCTTTAAGAGTGCGTCCATGTGAGCGACGAGCACACGTGCGCGCACCTCGGTTGTATATTCAACACATGTACACATCCATTCACATGCATCTGTTAGCGCATTTGCTGGCAAGGCGAATAATTCCACTGGTACCGCGTCCGAAACACCAGGGGAAGTATGACAAACAAGTGCTTCAAACGACACCTCGCGATACGCCCTCAGCTTGAACCGTCCGCACTCCGCATCGGGCCTAGCTGGCGACGCAAACGGAAGCCGTAGGCACATGGCGTGCAACAGGCAACTGCTACAAATGGCCCCCCCGCGGTTTGCGCCTCGGTTTTGGCCGTTTGCCTTTGGCATCGGGTCTAGCTGGCAACGCAAAAAGAAGCCGTCTGGACATGGCATCGGGGCTAGGAGCGAATGGCACAGCGCGAATCACTGCGCCTGTGACCTCATATCTGTCAGCTGTGCCATGTCGGACTCTTGGTCGACCCCCTCCGCCATGTCCTGCGCGTCGCTGTGTTGACGCCGTCGCCTTCGTTCGCAGCCGCGCTGGAATAAGCAGCGTACCCTTCCAGCGCCTGGATATGGCTATCGATCGTCTCGTAAACGGCGCCGTCATCCAGCAATTGAAATACGGCCGCCTCGGACTCCGTGGGCGACAGGTCCAATTCCGTTGCTGCGAAGGCGCCCAGCGTGCGCAACTTGCTCCAACAGTCGAAGCTCCGCCGACGGGAGCCAGCCATGCCGGAAGGCCGTCGAGCGCCCGAGCGAAACGCGCGTCTGTGCTGACAGCGGTAGCGGTCGCCCCCGAGGACGTCGCAGCGGTCGGGCCCTGATTTGCATTACCTGGCGCCGTTCCCAGAGCGGTTCGCAGGAAGACTTGTCGAACCTCGGCGGAACCTCGCCCGGCGCCTCGGAAACCTCGTTGCCTTCCCCCCGTCCGCGGCGTCGTGCTAGGCATGGGCGTTTCTCCTGCACGATTATCCGGTCTGCACGATTCTTCGCTGTCGCAGAAAAGCACTCTGCGTTTTCAGTCGTTGATCCACTCACACACAGGATGATGAACAATGGCGGTCTTCAACCCCGCCCAGAAATATGATGGACGGGGATGGCCTTCAACCGAGAGCGCCCTCCTGCGGATCACCAGATCCGCCCCGGATAACGATCCCCCTGCCTGCGCGAGCCTGCGCAACCGCAGAACAACATTTTGCGTCATCAGCAATTTCTCCACGCACCCACCCGGGGTGTAACAAAGACAGCCTTCATCCAAAAACGCCTTGCCGTCCTGTGGATCACTGGATCTGCCCCATGAGGCCAACCCCCCCAGAGGCCCGAGCGAGGACGCGACAGAGGTGCATGGAGGAAACGCACAGGAGAGGCAGTGCAGGAGCAAGAGAGAGAAGGACACCAGCGCCCTCAAGAGTGCTGAAACCAGCGCCCCGCCTGAGACATGCTCCAAATCTGCTCTGGAAGCAAAGGATGTTGAGCCACAAAACAGGCGAACGGCTTGAGACATCTCCACAGACTGACCGCGAACGGGCCCGTGTCATACCCCCTGGCGGCTCGCCTGAGACGTGCTCCAAATCTGCTGTGTAAGCAAAGGATGTTGAGCCACAAAACAAGCGAACCGCCTGAGACATTTCCACAAACTGGCCGCGAACGGGCCCGTGTCATACCTCCTGGCGGTTCCCCTCATGGGTGCTGAAACCGGCGCCCCGCTTGACATACCTTCCAAATCTGCTTTGACAGTAAAGGATGTGGAGCCACAAAACAGGCAAACCGCTGGACACATCCGCGCAAACTGGCCGCGAACGGGCCCGTGAAAACACATCAGGCGGTTCCCCCCCGTAGGGGTGCTGAAACCAGCGCCCCGCCTGAGACATGCTCGCAAACTGTTATAAACGCGGACGATGTTGAGCACGGAAACAGGCACACCGGTTGAGACATCCCCGCAAATTGGCCGCGAAGGGGCCCGTGAAACCACCCCCTGGCGGTTTCCTTTAAGGGTGCTGAAACCAGCGTCCTGCTTTTTAGAGATCTTCACAATCTGGTTTATACGCAGACGATGTTGGCCACCGAGACAGGCAAACCGCTTGAGACATCCCCGCAAACTGGCCGCGAACGGGACCGTGTAATGCCCCCTGGCGGCTCGCCTTAGGGGTGCTGAAACCAGCGCCCCGCTTGATACATCCTCCCAATCTGCTTTACACGCAGACGATGTTGGCCACCGAAGCAGGCAAACCGTTTGAGACATCCCCACAAACTGGCCGCGAACGGGCCCATGCAATACCCCCTGGCTGCTCCCTTTAGTGGTGCTGAAACCAGCGCCCCGCCTGTGACATCTTCACAAAATGCTGTCAACACAAACGACGTTGGGCACCTCAACAGGCAAACCGCTTGAGAGGTCGTGCGATACCCCGTGGCGACCCTTGTTAGCGGTGCTGAAACCAACACCCCACTTGAGACATCCTCAGGATTTTCTGAATATGAACGAATGAGTGCGACAGAGACTGGGTATGAGTGAATCCGAAAGAGTATGAGTATGAGTGGGTTTGACTGTGAACAAGTCTGAATAGTATGAGTGTGAAGGAATCTGCGTATAGACGAATCTAAGTAGGGGGTAGCGAGAATGGGAGGAGGCTTGACTGAAGAGTCGGTGGCGTCAGAGTAATAATTATTCACTGCGTGTAGCTCCCCATCTGTGCATATATTCGCATGGACCTGTCCGCCGTCAGAGTCTAGGCGCGAGAGTTTTTGAACATAAGCGGGCTTGAGTTGTGACGGTCTGGTCATGAATCTAATTTCGAACGGGTTGGAGCGTGAATGAGTCTCGGTAGTACGAGCGCGGCTCTGCGCATGAGCTTGGGGCCTCCTGGGGCCTCCAGAAACCTCCTGGGCCTTCCAGGAGCCTCCAGGAGCCTCTTGGGGCCTCCTGGGGCCTCTTGGGGCTTCGAGTGGCCTCCTGAGGCCTCCTGGAGCCTCGCGTAGCCTCCTGGAGCCTCCTGGAGCCTCCTGGGACCTCCTAGAGAGGAGCTGTGCCCCAGGAGAAGCCCGATCTATAGGAACAACCGTACAGAAAACATTGCGGATTGGATCCGCAGGAGAAGGGCAATCTATAGGGGCACACGTAACACACCAAGGACTCGTGCCCCAGGGGAGGCCCACTCTATAGGAACAGGCGGAGAACACTTAGGATTGTATACACAGGAGAAGGACCATCTATATAGAAATGTATAGACACATACGTATAGCATCAAGGATTCGTGTTCCAGGTGAGGCCCAATATATAGGAGCATACGTAAAGCACATGGGATTGAAACCACTCCTGTTGCCTTCTGAGGCCTCCAGCTTCTGGGGCCTCTCGGGGCCTCCTGTTGCCTGGGCCTCCTGGCGCTTCCTGTGGCCTCCTGAGGCCTCCGCTGGCTTCCTGAGGCCTCCTGGAGCTTCCTGGGGCCTCCTGGAGCCTCTTGGGACATCCTGTGGCCTCTTGAATCTTCCTGTGTCCTCCTGATGCCTCCTGGGACCTCATGTGGCCTCCTGGGGCCTCCTGAAGCCTGCTGGAGCCTCCTGCGGCATCCTGGGGAGAATCTGTGCCCACGAGTCTGGCCACCTAAACAGGCAAACCCATCGAGACATCCTTAACATCTGGCCCCCCTGGGGGGCGAACATGAGCGCCTCGCTCGAGACATCCTCCGAATCTGCTAACCGCCTGAGACATCCCCGCCATTTGGGCGCGAACGGAGACCGTGCAATATCCCTGGCGGCCCCCCCTTAGGAAGCGCCTCGCACGAGGCATCCTCCGAATCTGCTCCGAAAGCGGAGGATGTTGGGGACCGAAACAGGCAAACCGCCTGAGACATCCCCGCCATTTGGGCGCGAACGGAGACCGTGCAACACCCACGGCGCCCCCCCCCTTAGGAGTGCTAAAACAAGCAAGCCGCTAGAGACAGGAGACATCCTCCTCATCTGCTCATCGTCATCATCAACGTCATCATCATCATCATCATCATCATCATCATCATCATCATCATCATCATCATCATCATCATCATCATCATCATCATCATCATCATCTTCATCTTCATCTTCATCTTCATCTTCACCATCATCACAATCACCATCACCATCATCACCATCATCATCATCATCATCATTATGTTTTTAGTCTTGCTTTTTTATTATTATCATCATCATACTCATCCATCATTCACCACCACCATCACACTCACATCATACTCTCACCATACCATGGTCATCATCATGGTATGGGCGGTCCAGCGCGATCGGATAATAACAATCACCCCATCTCTTGGATATGGGGAACAAGCTACGTGAGCTGATTCTCTACCCTACCCTTTGCTATCCTACCTGTTCGTCCCACCCGAGTGAGCGGTTCGGCAGCAGAAATTCCTGAGCAGCGGCGGCCTTCTCCACAGTTGCTAGTTTTGCGCGGCTAGGATACGAGGAACGACCTTTAGTGCAATCCTGCACCAGCTGCCCGCGCCCGTGTTCGGTCCATGACAGGTCCTTGTGTCGCGTCCTGCGCCGACCGCTCGCGGCGGCCCTATGCAGCCTGCGGGCGCGAGGCTGAAGAGGGGCGCTGCTCGGTGTCTCTCATCCACCTACTGTATCTCGACTCTACAGGTTATGTGTGGCAACTTGTCCCTCCCCCCCGGGGCGCAGAAAAAAAATCCGGGTTTACTCCCTTTCAGCCTCTGTCGATTGTTCGTTCGAGTTGTGGAAGGAAGTGGCACGATGTTTGTTGTTTTCCCATCTGCGGCTCGCGGTTCCGATTCTCGTTGCCCCCGTCGTCGCGGCGCGACACGCCCCGCGCCTCGCACCGCGAGTCTTGGCGGCGGCCCACCTGTCGGGCAGCCCGCTTGGCGGCCACTGCCGCCCCCTGGCGCGCCAGCCAACATCAGACATCAGAGGGGGGGTCCTGGCACCAGCTGGCGGCGCAAGATGGGCCCTGGACTTATGATGTTCCAATTTATTTGAGCCTTGATCACCAGAAATATGTTTGAGCACCCATGGAGTTCCGAAAGTCGAGGGTTTTCTCGTGTCGGGCCCTGGGAGGCGATAGTCGTTCGACACTGTTTTGATACTTTCTGAGTGCTTGAAATGATTTCTGGGATGTGGTCCTGAAGTACACTGGGAGCAACAGCGCCCTGGACGAGGCAGCGCGTCAGCGGCGTCAAAGCCCACACCGCGTCGTCTCATCGAGCTCCCCCTGCCAGGGCGCGGGATTCTCAGCGCGGCGCACCGCGCGGGAGGGGAGGGGAGGAGCGGCGTGTGCCCCAGCCAGCGCTTGCATCGCGGCCAGCCCCTTCTGGGCGCGGGAGCACATGCGGACTGGGCGCGGGAGCGCGACGCAGGAGGAAGATGAGGGGCACTGCCTCTGCCGCTGCTCCCCTGCTGCCCGTCCCCTCGCCGCCCTGCTCGTGTCCGCGCCCGCCCCTCCCCACCCCTTGCCCACGCCCACCCCCCCCGGGCTGCCCCGAGGCTAGTCGTCTTTGCGGGCAACGGCGCCGGGGGCGGGCGGGGTGGGGTGTCGTCGGCGGCCGTCGGGGGCGACTGCAACGGCGGGCGGCCGTCCTTGCCGCGGCCGGCTCCGCGCGCCCCTGGCAGGCGCCCGTCGGTGCTGCCGGGGGGGTCGCGCGGCAGGGCAGCTGCACCTCGCGCCGGCGGCGAGGCGGCCCGTCCAGGCGCGCGCGGCGGCTGCCGCTCACGCCGCGGCGCGGCAGTGCCCGCGTGGTGCAGGGTGCACATCCGAGGCCCGAAAACCATCGCGTCACTAATTTTGGGCCCCAGGGCCCACTGAGGCCCCAGGGGCCCCAGATTGGTGGAGCGATGTTTTTTTTTGCCCACGTGAGGACCCCGAAAGTCATCACTTGACGAAACCGAGCCCAGGGCGAAAGTCAGAGGCCGAAGTGGTGCCATGATGCAGCATAGGTCTTGGGGGGGGAGCTTGCAGCAAGGGCGGCGACGGGCGCGGGCGTGCCGCCTGCAGCTGCGCGCCTCGCACGGCGCCGCCCTCGACCAGGAGGCCCGCCGCGGGGCAGCAGCGCTCGGCGTCCTGGTCGGGGCGGGCGTTGCGCGCGTCGTCGCAGCCTCGCCGCCTCGGCCAGGGGCCGCCAGCAAGCCGGACATCGGCGCGGAGCCCGGCGGCGACGGCGGAGTCCACGGCCGCGGGCGCGCCGGTGCGCCACTAAGGGACGTGCACGTCCCTGGGCGCCGTCCGGGTCTTTCCCGTTCGCCTCGCCGTCCGGGGGGTCAGGGGCGCGGGGCGGCAATGTTCCCGCGAAGCCAGCCAACGCGCCGAGCCAGGCTCGGTCGAGGAGGCGTCTTGTGGCGCTCGGTGCGGTCGCAGTGGCAACTGACCGTGGGGGCATGGAGGCGTGGTGTGCGATCACGTCGAGTGAAATTCCCGCACGGGGCAGAAGCCTGCCATGCTTGTGGAGAAGCTGGTGCTTCAGGCGTCTCTGCAGCGCTTTTAGCCTCATGTTGCGATGGATGAGAGTGCAGATCACTGGTCTGGGCGGCTTGCCGCCGCTCGCGGGCGCCAGGGGTGGCGACCAGACCGAGGTGGGCCCGCGTGGCGCGCTGCCAGGGCTCGCCGCGGGTGGCGTCGCCCACATGCGGCAAGCCGCCGCAGCGCGATTCCCCGCGGAGCGCAGCCTGGGGCCGCTTGTCTGCGGTCTCGGCTGCGCCTGCGCTGGTGACGAGGATGCGTGTCCGGCCCATTCTCTCTAGGCCTCTTAGATGGGGTCCGAGTAGACGGGGTTGAAGGATCGCGCTGCATCGTTGATGCATCGCCGATGCGGCTCGATGTGGGGCCTGATTTGTTTCACGTTGACGTCGCCGATGCATCGCCGACGTCGACGATGCGTCGCCGGTGCATCCCTGATGCATCGCCGATGCATCGTCGATGCATCGCCGATTCGGCGCGATCCTCCAACCCCATCTATTCCGACCCCATCTAGGAGGCCTCTATTCTCTGTCGCAGCCAGACGCGCGCGCGTCGGTGCTCTGCGGCTGGTGCCCCTCGCGGTGCCCTCGGCGGTGCTGGCCTCCAGCCGTTGCCGTCGGCCGCTCGCGCGGCGGCGCCGCATAGGGCCCGTGCCCTCGCCTGCGCCGCGCCCTCGTGCCCTCTCTGCCCCTCCCGGTGGTGCTGTGCCTGGTGCTCCTCCCCCCTCCCCCCCGGGTCTTCCTCCTGCTCCCTCCTGCTCCTGCTCTCTGCTCCTCCAGCTCGTGCCTCCCGCTCTCTGCTCCTGCCCCTCCCCGTCCCTTATTCTCCCGCCTCGCGCCCTCCAGCGGCCTGCCCTCGCCGACGCGGCGTCCACACGCGGTCCAGGAGCCTGCGCCGTTCGGCACGAACGAGATGGGTACAGAAAGAATGGGTACAATGCCCAACAGCAGCTCATGCTCATTTTGAACAGGACTCGCTGTCGGTGTCGCCGCGGCCTGTGTACATTTGAGAGAAGGCCGCCTGCCCAACAGCCGCCGCTGTTGGTTTGGGACAACATTTGTTGTTGGGCATTGTACCCATTTTTGTTCGTACCCATTTCGGGCGTCCAAAGCCGTGGGCTGGCTGGCTCTCACCGCGAGCTCGGGCGTTCGTGTCGTTTCGCGGGGGGGGGGGCAGTGGTTCTCATCAGATGCAGCCACGCGCCGAGCGGGGTGGGGGGAGGGGGGAGGGCTTCTCAGAAGCACCCCTGCTTCTTGGAAGGCGCGGGCCTTATCTGTAGATGTAAGGCTGGCGCCTTCTAAGAAGCAGCCTCCTTCCAAGAAGCCATCCCCCCTCCCTCCATCCACTTGTGCGCGCCGCCAACAGATGTGATGCGAGGTCCCCGAGCGCTCTGTCGCTTGTCCTTCCGTTCCTGCCGTGCTTCTGCTCCTCTCCTTGCGGGGTCTTCTTTCCTCCGACCAGTGCTTTTCAGTCCGCTGCTGCTCCTTTTCCTCCTGCTCGGCCGCCGCGGAGGTTGCACAGAAGCAGCGCGACGCGCTGGAGAGGCTGTGCGACAACCTGCAGAAGGCCAGTGGCGGAACTCGCAAAGGTAATTAGGTTCCCAGGGGCTGCTCTCGGTCGCGCAGGGGGACGCTAGTCGGGCGATGATCTGGGTACACCTCCAGACTTTCTCTTCCAGCGCCGTTTTATTGCCTTTGCTCAGCTCCTCCCCCACCCTCAAACTTATCGAGGATGAGCGAAGAGGGGGGGGGGGGGAGAAGGACTCGGAGAGAAGAAGGTGGGAGGCGTGGGAGAAGGTGGATGAGGAGGACGTGGGAGGAGAAACAGCAGAGAGGAGGAGAGAATAGTGAGGATATTGATTATTGGTGATGAGGAGGGTGGCAGCGTCCATGGATGGAGACCGATGCTGACAGCGACAGCGACAGGAGGAGGAGGAGGAGGATGAGGAGGGAGGAAAACAGAGGTGAGAGGAGATTTGATATGCTCGGTACGCTCGCGCCATATCTTGAATCCTCTTCCCTTTCACACATCCCTTCCCATTGTGCTGATTCGTCTCTATCCGCCGATTGGCATTCCAGACGATGATCAAGTGGATGAGGAGGATGACGGGGAGGAGAATGAGGACAGAGAACGAACAGCACAACGAGCATAAGTAGAAGGAGCGTTATGAGCAAGAAGTCCAGCCAGGAGAAGGCGGAGGAGGGGCAAGGAGGGGGGTGGGTCAACGGCGTGGAATGAACGGATCTTTACATACGGCGGCCGTAGGGGCGATACCGCCATTCTGAACGACGGGGGCAAAGCGCCGATCCAGACATCGAGGCAACGCTGCTGCGGGGCCCCATTCTAAGCATATTCGGACTTTCCAATGGGGCAAGCACGCATAGCCATCAGTGCTTGAAATCCTCTGTTAAGCAGCTTGCAAGAGAGGCGGGGATTCGCTCGCTCAGTATCCAGGCGTAGAGTAGAGTGGTGTTCATAAAAAAGGTAGGTGTAGAGGTGGGCAGCCAGAGTGAACACAGTTTGTGTCAACGATGCTTCAGTTCACCCTCCCGTGCAACGTATCCTCTTTTCACAGCCTTACAAAATGCCGATCGTCCCAAGAGGCCAAGTTCCACCGGGATCGCAGCTCCGAAAGAGGCGTCCTCCATCTTTGGAGCTTTACGAAGTGCGGCACGTTGCGGCTACAACGTTCAAGGGTTGCCAAGCGACAGCAACCCTTTGAAAAGGAGTCACCTTCAGTCTGTGTTGTTTTGCGCAATCCTTCTGTTTCAAGAGATACGCGTTCACACATTCAGGAGCAAGAGCCCCATTTTGAAAAACGAGCCGCCCTCGATGCTTGCAAGTGCTGTGCAGTGCTGTGCACGCGTAAGCGTAGCAGTCGGACATGTTGGGAGTGCACATGACGAGTGCACACGGCGACCAGTGACGAGCACAGTCTGGGAGAACGGCCCGATCTCTTTCCATGCAGTTGTTGCTTTTGGTCTCACGAGTGCGCGCGGCGCCCAATTCTCAAGACGGCCCGCCCTCCATCCGTGCATCTGTTGGAGAGTCGAGCTTTAGCATCGCAAATTCTCAGGCGAAGCGTCCGACCCGCCCTGACGATACACCTGGTGGTACGAGCGGGGGAGGAGGGGGGGAATTCTAACTGCGAGCACAGCAGGAGGAGGACCGAAGGGCAGTGTAAGCGTGAGGAGAAGGACAGGAGGAGGAGGCGGAGGAGGAGGAGGAGGAGGAGGAGATGGGGGGAGGAGGAGGAGGAGGAGGAGGAGGAGGAGGAGGAGGAGGAGGAGGGGGGAGGGAGGAGTGATGGGACGGACAAGGAGGAGGTAGGAGGAGGGGGGGAGGTGGAGGAGGAGGAGGTGGAGGAGGAGGTGGAGGAGGAGGAGAGGATGAGTAGATTGCTGATGCTGACGCTGATGATGATACTTATGATGATGATGATGATGATGATGATGATGATGATGATGATGATGATGATGATGATGCTGATGATAATGATTATGATGATGGTGGTGACGATGATGATGCTGATGCTGATGCTGCTTCTGCTGATGACTTTGACGATGCGGGCGATGATGCTGATGATGATGCTGATGATGGTACTGATGCTGTTACTGACGCTGATGCTGCTATTGATGCTGATACTGCTGATGATGATGCCGCTGATGGTGATGCTGATGCTGATGCTGATGATGATGGTGGTGATGATTATATTGATGATGGTGATGATGTTGATGCTGATTATGCTGATGAGCTGATGCTGATGATCGTAGTGGTGGTGATGATGATGCTGATGTTGATGACGATGTTGATGGTGATGATGCTGATGCTGACGATGATGAGTATGATGATGCTGCTGCTCATGGCGATGTGATGTTGAGACTCTTGCTGCTGCTGATGATGATGGGGATGATGTGCATGATGCTGATGACGACGACGACGATGATGATGATGATGTTGCTGATGCTGATGATGACGATGACGATGACGATGATAATGATAATGCTGATAATGCTGCTGATTCTGCTGCTGATGATGATGGTGGTGGTGATGATGATGACGACGATGATGGCGATGCTGCCGATGATGAAGGTGACGGTGATGGTGATGGCGATGGCGATGGTGGTGATGCTGATGATGATGATGATGATGATGATGATGATGATGATGATGATGATGGTCGTGTCTCACTTGTCATCTCATTAGCGATTGAGTGCCGCGAGGGTTTATCCTCCGAAACCGTCTGGCTCAGTTCTCTCGCGAGGTCTCCAGATGCTGAGCCCCCGCGCGCTGGCCGGGCTGGGCATCGCTCATTTCGCAGGTGCGTTCCTGTGCCATTTCGCGGCGCAGCCCGCCCCCCTGGTGCCGGAGGAGGCGCCTGGGACCTGCCCCGCGGAGGCGGGGGTGGACAGCGGCGCCGCGGCGTCGCGGGACCTCCAGCAGGTGCTCGGCACGCTGCAGGAGGCGCTGGGCGACTGCCTGGCATCGCGGGCGCCTGTGTGCCCGAGCCCCTGCCCCGAGTGCCGCTGTGACTGCGGGACCGGGGCTTCGGCGTCGCCAGGCTGGTGGCGCGCGGCCCTTGAGCTCGTGGTGGGGGCTGCCGTGCTCCTCGCCCTCGAGTTCTTCCGCGGGCTGCTGGGCTGGGCCCGCCGGGCCATCTCCTGCGCGAGCCGTCCGTGGGGCCCGCCCGCGTCGAGGCCGGGCTTGGCGGCCCCCGGCTCGCCTGACCCGCGTGTGCCGGGGGGGGGCGGCCAGTATCGATGAATGTTGGGGACGAGATTTGGGTTGAGTACGATGTCGATCCTCCCCTTCTTCATGCTCGGCTTCTTCTGGTGGGCTCGTCCCGCACCCCGGGCGCCTTCTCTGTGCTCACTCCCGACATGGACGTGTATGTCGAGGAGTACACGCCCGCGAACACCGACCTGCGGGGATACTACCTCAAGCGGCCTCGAGGTGTCGGGGCTCTGGCGGTGGCAGCGCCTCGGGGTCGAGGGCACTATGACTTCGCCCACCTCCCGACCGCGCCGCAGATGGTCGGGGTGCTCCAGGAGGCGCAGGTGGCCATGGCGTGCTTCGAGGGCGGCGGTGCGGGAGGCGGGGGTGCAGGCGGCGGGGCTGCTGGAGGGCTGCTGGGTGCCGGCGTGGCCGCGGGCCTGCCCGCCGCCCTGGGCGGTGGCGGAGCCGCCGCCGGCGCAGCACCCCTTGCCCTGCAGGGGCCCGGCGGGGCCGGCGGCGCTGGCGCCCCCGGCGCGGCAGCCGGCGCGGGCGGGGCCGTGGGCGTGGCCCCTGCCGGCGCCTTGGTGGCCGCGGGCGAAGGGGCCCCTGCCGCTGCCGCGCCTGCCCCGGCTGCGGGCGGCCTGGCTGGCCTCGCCGCCGCGCTGGGGGGACCCCCTGGTGCAGTCGAAGGCGGCGGCGCTGGAGCTGCTGTGGGGGGCGAGCGAGGCGGGGGCGATCTACGGACCCTTGCTGTGCGGTATGATCGACAAGGGTTGCGATATCGAGAGCTTCGGGAGGCTGTTCAGAGCAACCGATCCACCAGTTTTCCTGACTGGCCCGTCCCCGGGCCGCGTGCCTTCCAGTGGGTGGCGGAGTACCAGATGGAGCACGGGGGCACCCCCATGGGCCACCACGTGGCGTGGAAGGCGTCGCTGGGAGCCTCCGTCGGGGGCGATGACCCCGTGGTGCACCTGCACGCGGAGTTCAGCAAGCTCATGCAGACCATGTGCACCTACGACCAGCTGGACGGCGCCAACCTCGCATGCGGCGAGCTGGTGGCCCGCCAACTCCAGCTGTGCGAGGAGAAGTACAAGGACAAGATATTGTCACAGCGCGGGGGAGGCGGGCTCCAGCAGGATGAAGGGTACTTCTTCACCGACATGGGCTCGACGAGAGGCCTCATGGTCAGTCCCGAGCTCACCAAGTGGGTGGCGGAGCGCCTGCAGGCCGAGAGCAGCATCGCGAAGGAGCGCCGCAAGGCGCGTGAGGAGCGGCAGCTTGCCGCACCCAGCGGCGGAGGCGGAGCCGGCAGCGGGGGCGGTGGCCCCGGCGGCGGCGGCGGCAAGAAGGGGAAGACGTGACGAGAACGGGGCGTCCCTTCGCCCCGCTGGTGAGGGAGCTCAGCCGACCCTCACTGGCTCCTCCAGGCTTGAGCATCGCGCTCCGGTGGTCTCATGGGCCCCAGTCGTCAGCGAGATGTGTTCCCCCTTCCTCTTTTTCGTGATCTGGCTGCCCGACAACCGGCTTGCCGTGCTGTTGGTCGCCGTCGGGATAGACTGGCGCATTCACTGCAGTGGGCTAACCTCGGCATCGGATCGCTCAACGAGTTGGCAGGACGCAGCGGCAGCCGCCCACGTCGCGCCTCAGTTTTGCAGCACATGGCGCTCGAGCACATCCGGGAGCAGTACACCACTTTCCCGGGGCCGCCTGAGGACGTGTGCCCCCGCGGGAGCCTTCGCGAGCTCTGCGGCGCTTGCCCCATGTACGGTATGGAGCGGGCGGATTTGGCATCCTACAGCGAGGACAAAGTTTCCTGGCCTGCAGAGGGGACGGCTCCTGTGTCCCTCGAG